AAGAACGATGCTCTCAAGTAACGCTGATGTGCCGTTACTCCCTGCTTTGAGCCAGCTCTTGTCCGTCCCAGGGAATCAACTTCGTTTTCCCAAGCTGGAAGATCTGGAGTCAAGCCGGCCGGAGCCAGAATGTGTGAGACATTGCAAGACAGACCGGTAGGACAAACCGCTGGAACGGGTTACTCCATCCGAAGATGGCGACGACCTGGACGGCACGACGGCTACATACAGGAACTAGCGTAAGGTGCTGGAGGGCAGCACCCAAGACGCAGAGAAGAAACCTTGAGTGCCTTCCTCGAGGGCAGAGACAAGATGAGGACGGGGGCCCAGAGTTCGGATAAGCAAGATCGGCAACTGTCCCGTGCGCATCGAACCTTTTTGATGGGAAGAGAGGCGGATCAACCGACTCGCGAAAGCCAGCCGGGCTGCTTCCGCTCCGTACACCACCACCACATCCTGTGGACCCAATGAGAACGGTCTCTTTTCTGATGAAGGAGTCGAGAGATTCAACGCAATTCGGCAGGCAGCAAGCATGCCCGCCTACTGCCGGGTAATACGCAACGCAAGCAACGTGGTGGTGGTGGTGGTGGTGGTGGTGAGGGGGGCGAGATGGGATTCATTCGCACTTGATCCTTTTCGCTTGACGTCCCTCCGTTCCGGGCACTCGATTCGGGCCCTGATCTTCCAGATCATCCCCTGCACCGGACCCTGAATTGACTGTCCCTGAACCCTCACGGAGCGCACCACGTTGCTCGGTGCCCCTTCCCCCGCCCAGTCGTGCACATCAAAACGTCCGCAGCGAGGTTGTCAACAGATTGACAGTCCATCAGATGTTTCTGTATCCGCACAAAAAAGACACGGGAGAAATAAAGCGGTGGATTGAATGCTCCGGAGGCACCATTGGCCCTGCCCCTTCCAGCTCACCACGAGGGTACCTCGCGAGTAGTGTACGGCCTGGCCCATTTGAGTTTTGTGGAGAGGGGCACAACGGCGAGAGACGGGCAGAACGTCTACTACACTAAATACGACCATCACCACCACCACCCTCAGACCACATCAGTGTTAACGCTTTATGGAATGGCCTATCGATGAGGATGCTAACGTGCCCGCAAGAAGAGAATATCCGGAAGGTCGTCGAGAGCACCCCGCCCCCCGACCTCGCAGCATCCTTGGCGCGAATGAGAGACGGGAAAAAGACTCTCTCCTCGGCCGTCACCCGTCAATATCTGCGACAATCGTACTTGGAGGCCATTAAACTCGCCGACTCCTGGAAAGAAAAGAAGAAACAACTCCTTGACACCCAAAGTGGCCCCGAGGACCATTGTAGAGAAACGAGTCCCATCGTCGACGCGTCGCAGATCATTTTGGAGAAACATCCCGCCCGCCGCTCTCCACCACGTTTTCGACGAACCACTCCCGTCGCATTTCGCCGGCTGGCTGCCCATTCCATCCGCCCCCGTCATGTCGATCCGGCAGCAGCCAGCCATGCGGTCGCTCGCTGGCTGAATTGTAGAGCAGCAGCAGCCCTTCCGTGGTTGCTTCTTTCCTCGGGAGCGTCTTGGTAGTCGCATTATTAGCGTGGTTATGGGCATTTGGTGCGTGAGCACAGCGCCATCTTGGCTTCATAGCGCATCCCTCTTGAAGTCTTGACCGGGCCTCAAGAGTTTAAACAGTTCGGCGCCGGACGCGGATGCAGAAGGAAATGTGTAGCATGTAGCTGAAGGCTGAGAGTCAGACTCAACAAGAAGGGACATACCTGGGACATGGGGGTCCAGCCAGCCAGCCAGCCAGCCAGCCGCTTCTGGCGTCAGGTGAGTGAAGCCGCCGAGGAAATGGACGGGCCTCCGAGACCTGCCACCCGAGTGCCAAGATCATCCACCACTCTTCAGAGGAGACCCCCGCCGACCCGACCCCCCCTTGTCCCGTGTGCTCCGTCCTCCAGTACGTACCTTACCTCGGAGGTACCTGCGACTACCTCACAGCAACGAAGCTGGTGCTGGGTGCCTGAATAACAGTCAACAGCCTCTCTCTCTCTCCTCAAAGCCACTTCCAATGCGACCTCAATTCAACCCAGGGTGGAGCATGATGATGATTGATCAGCTCTACCTTTGCTGCGACGCAAACTGCCCTCCCGCGCTTCGCCCGCTGCTCCCAATTACCAACAGCTTTCGGACCATGTTCCGCGGGCCCGAGACCGCTGCGTCAGTGTCCATCTCCAGTAGAAAAAGAATGTAGACAGTTACGCGTTTCGTAGGATCATGATGCATCCGTGAGGACGATATGCCACAGAAGCAGGCGCCATAGGTTCATGGTCCAGGCTCAACCAGCGCCCCCTTTCTCCCTATCTAGTTGATCGCTCCTTTACTACTTGATAGTACAAAGACGGTTCTGTCGGCCGAGGAAAACCGGGTTTCCAACGTGTCGGGTCGTCATTTTACATGATTCAAGGGTGAGGGAAGGATGATCAAACTGCGGAGAGGATGCGAGCAAAACTTGAGACGAAAAAAAAAAACACACACACACAGAGCACAGGCCTCGGTTTCGGCTGCTTTGCTCCATCTCTCTCTTCGTCTCCCTCTCAACCTCGCCCGCGTGCCTGCATTGAATCGGATTCTGAACCATTAGTGCTGCTATTGGTGAGGGTTAAATTGTGTTGGTTTGGACCTGTTTGGGGTTCCCGCAGCGGATGACCCTCTTTCGACGATCCAGGTCCTACCTGCCTAGGTGCAAAGCAGATGTTGACAGGTCCCTTTCGGTGTACACATTGAGGGTGGGAGGGGCATGCCTCTCTCGGTCGTATCGGCTTCGGCGCCGGATCTGTGAGAGGGATGATGGGTGTGGCTAGGTCGATTCGACGCAGAGCTCATCTGAAACGATGACTTGGCCGCGATGCCCTTCCTCGCCATGGACAATACCTAATGGCCTGTAGAGATGCCGAGGAGACTGGGCGTGATTGGCTTGTGTTTGCGATTTGCGTTAACGACGGATGGCTGTGGTTGGCTGTGCGCTCCTGACAACCCGTCGAAACTCGTCGTGATGGTTTCCATAAGAAGTTCTATATCCAAGCCTTGTTAATCCTTAGGCTTCCGCTGGCTATGCACACCGAAGCTCGCAAGCCCGCGCCCACATTGGTCTCTGAGTCCGCATTGAGCATCACGTTCTCGTTGTCCATTGTCGTTTCCACCTGTTCCGAAAGGGTTGTGACGACAGCCCGTCCCTTCGCTTCTCAACTGGACGGGTTCGCATCCACGCAAAGTGCAGGTCAAGGTGTTCTCACCGGCTGGTCAGGTCAGGGCACACGCAATAAACATCTGTATTGTGACGGTGGATAAACGGGCTTCCTTGCCCTCCCGAAAAGATGGCGATGTTGAGATGCTCGACAGACGGCATTTCAACTCCCTTTTTGAGTCTCTCCCGACAGCCAAGCAACCCACATATGCGCCTTCGCACAAATATCATGTCCCATTAACCCATATCAAGCCGGTAGTCGGAAAAAGCTGGCCCCTATCCTGTACACTATATTTGCAACGCATCGTCTCAGGGGGCTCGTATTTAAACAGTTGGTTCTCGGCTCGTCTCGCTTCGTTTATTGAGTCTTGAACAGGAGGATGGCGCAGTGACCGAGGTAGAAGTAGATGAAGTGCTTAGTCTCTGCATTCGAGTGAAAGGTCAGCATATGCCATCAGAATATCTCCCGTCATGCTGGAAGTCTCGATCTGCCCAATAGGGTGGTTGAGGTTCCTTCTCCGAGCCTTGCTTGCGCAAGTAAACGTACCGTGCGTCACAAAGCTACCGAAGTTGCGGCCGACAATACAGTGCCATGTAGGACCCTTGCGCTCGTCGAACTATAAGTATTCCCAGGTTAGCTTAGGCAGGACGCGCGATGGCAAGGCGATGTGAACTTACAGTGCGCTTGATGTGCTGGGCAATATCCTGCGGTTTGTGTCAATGCAAGGCCTTGAGAGAGTTGTCTGGTTGAACGTCTCTAGTTGACGATGCGCACCTTCTCAATGGTGAACTTGGCCATGGCCTCCTGGGCTATAGAGGGGTTGTCAGTACCGCAGCGGGGATCTAGGAGGGGCTTCCGGAGATGACGTTACGTACCGACTTCGATGCACTCTTGCTGCATGTCCTCGGTCTAGAATCATCCGCGTCAGTGTTATACGGAGGCGCTTGAACGGTATGTGAGTCTCACCATATCAGCGCTCTTAACCTGAGCTAGATTCCTCATATGTCAGCCTCGCCGGGCCCATAGCCAACATCGTAGACCGCTCCGGATCGGCAGACTCACCTTCCAACTTTTCCCGGGGAGCGGGCGAGGTGCTCTTAGCGTCGGCCATTTCGAAGTCGGAGAGATTGAGGAGATTCCTATAGTTGCGATGCTGCTGTCAGCATCGATACGGAATGTCCATCGTGCGTAGTTGGGCCTGGGCCCCTTTTCTCGTTCGTCGTCGATTGCTGCGCCATGAAGTCGGCAAGGTACTCACTAGATCAGAAGTCAACTTCGCGAAGCTGTCAGCAGTTGCCTGGAGCAGTAGCAGAGATCTCACTTACACTGACGGGCTTGATACGGCGAATTGGGTTTGTTGAATGTTGTCAAAAGCAAGTATCGTCGCGTGTTTTGGCCAAACTGACAAAGTGCCCGCGACGGGAAGGGTCCCATTTGGTCGAGTCGGGTTGCCATGGGCACGGGCCATGCGTCCTTCCCGGCACCTCAGTCATGCGCTAAACCGTTGACAGCCACGGTCTATGTGGGTACTGCGGGGCAGGTCACATGTTGATAGCGATAAGAGCAACTGGGGACGGAAAAAAAAACTTCGAGACAAGTCCCGTTCGCATCTTGGATGTCAACAAATCCTTCTACACTCTTCTTCACACTCTCGACAGCATGGCCTTGGGTTTATAGCAGCAACATCCCAGAGCAGTCTACGCTCATAATATCTCTTCCTCTTTCTTATCAACGTGTTCTTTGTTTCTGAGATACCCTTTTCTTTTACACCATGGCTAGCACCGACGCTGCCACTCCTGCATTGGAGACCTCCCGCATCTTCGTCAGAGGGCTGCCACCCAAGATCACCGATGCCGAGTTTCGAAAGCACTTCTCGGCTGGTGGTCGCGAAGTGACCGACGTCAAAGTCATCCCACAGAGGAGGATCGGCTATGTTGGATACAAGACTCCGGACGTTGCTGCCAAGGCGGTCAAGTACTTCAACAAGTCTTACGTCCGCATGTCGAGAATCAATGTTGAACTTGCAAGGCCGGTACGTTGGAGAAACCTCCAGGTAAACACACTATGACCCCTATATGCTTACGTCTTTGCCATTTCAGATTGCAGATCCCGCCCTTCAAAAGACGAGGGGGGTGAGCGGGCCGTCATTTGTGGCGAAGATGTCAGATTCAGCAGCCCCTCTACCACCTAGCGCCGAGCAGGATGATGGCTCGAAAAAGAAGCGCAAGCGCGAGGAGGTTGATGAATCCAATCCCAAGCTGCGCGAGTACTTGTCAGTCTTTCAGCCTGGGAAGAAGTCTGCTGCCGATGAGATGGCGGATATGATGGCCCCTGCTGCTGTTAAAGAGCAGAAGAAGTTGCTTGAAGATGGCGAAAGTGACGATGAATATGAGGCCATCCCGGCTCGGCCTGAGAAACGGCAGATGAGGGAGGCACAGAAGGGAGACCAGCGCCCCGCGGAGCCTTTGCCTGAAAAGGACGAGCCCATGCCGGACGCTGCCTCTGTCGCCGACCCTGAGCCAGACGCGACTCAGGAGGAGGGTGCTGTCCCCGCTGCTGGTGTCAATAACAACGCGGCAACTACAGACGATGATTGGCTCCGTTCGAGGACGAACCGTCTTTTGGACCTCGTGGATGACGAGGTACCCCAGCCGGTACCCCAGCCCTCAGCTCAACGAGACAATCAAGAGACAGTCGGAAGCGCATCCGCGGTCATCCACGAGGAACCCGTGGAGCCCTCCGAGAAAGCCGAGACAGAAAGTCCAGCTGGAGCCGGCGACGCCCCGGCCCCCTCTGAGAAGAAGGCTGCGGAAGACGAGGACGACACCCTTGCCACCATCAAGCGAACCTCCAGACTTTTTGCGCGTAACCTAGCTTACAGTGTCAACGAAGAGGACTTGCGGGCGCACTTCGAGCAATTCGGAGAGCTTCAAGAGGTAAGCAGCAATACTTTTTACGTTTGAAACCGCCACTGTGCCCAACAATCATGTGATGAATCCAGATAGGGACAGCTGACATCGAATGATGTTTGATGCGAACCTTGGATCAGTATTTTAGTAGATGCATTGACTTTCTGAAAAATGATTTACTTCCTCGGCTTTTCATGGACATTTCATGACAAGACTCGATTGCTAATCTCCTGGACAGGTACATCTGCCGGTGACTGCTACTGGCGCAAGCAAGGGCTATGCCATGGTCCAGTTCACGAATGCCGACTCTGCTGTCACCGCATTCCAGTCCTCGGATGGTCAGACTTTTCAAGGGCGACTTCTACACATCTTGCCCGCTGCGGAAAAGCGCAACACAGGGCTGGACGAGTTTGCAATCTCCAAGCTGCCCTTGAAACAGCAAAACCTGATCCGAAAGAAGGCGGAGGCTGCGTCTAGCTCCTTCAACTGGAATTCACTGTACATGAACCAGGACGCTGTCAACGCCTCAGTCGCCAGCCGCCTGGGTGTGTCTAAATCAGAACTGCTGGATCCCACGTCGGCGGACGCCGGTGTCAAGCAGGCCATCGCCGAGACGTCGATCATCCAGGAAACTAAGGCATACTTTGCATCGAATGGCGTAGATCTCGATGCCTTCAAGTCACAAAAGCGGGGCGACACGACCATTCTGGTCAAGAATTTCCCCTTCGGGACGACGATGGAGGAGCTGAGGACCATGTTTGAGGAGCACGGCACTGTCCTGAGAGTGCTGATGCCACCGAGTGGGACCATTGCCATCGTCGAGTTCGCCCAGGCCGCACATGCTAAAGCAGCGTTTGCCAAGCTCGCTTACAGGCGGATCAAGGACACCGTCCTGTTCTTGGAGAAGGGGCCTAAGGACCTTTTCAAGAATGATGCCTCAGTAAACATTATGCAGGGCAAGGAAGATCGGCCCGTAGGCGTGCAGAAGCTCAGCGTTACTGAGCTTCTGGAGCGTGGTGAGCAGGGCGAGGCAGACATTCAGACAACGTCGCTGTTTGTCAGAAACCTGAACTTTTCCACCACGACGGAGAAGCTGGCCGAGACGTTTAAACCGTTGGACGGTTTTGTGTCCGCTAGGGTGAAGACAAAGATGGATCCCAAGAAGCCAGGACAGGTGCTCAGTATGGGATTCGGCTTTGTTGTCTTCAAGACAAAGGAACAGGCTTCAACGGCTCTCAAATCAATGGATGGGTTTGTCCTCGACGGTCACACCCTCGCCGTCAAGGCCTCCCACAAGGGCCAGGATGCGGCGGAAGAGCGCCGCCGGGAAGACAAGGCTCGCAAGGCGGCGGGCCAGCGTACCAAGATCGTCATCAAAAACTTGCCCTTCGAGGCAACCAAAAAGGACATTCGCACGCTGTTCAGCACTTATGGCCAGCTCAGAGCTGTGCGCCTGCCCAAGAAGTTCGGCAACTCAACCAGAGGTTTTGCTTTTGCGGAGTTTGTCACCCCTCGGGAGGCGGAAAACGCGCTCAACGCTTTGCGAGACACCCATTTGCTGGGCCGCAAGCTTGTTCTCGACTACGCCGAGGCGGAGGCAGTCGATGCCGAGGAGGAGATTGCCAAGATGCAGCGCAAGATCGGTGGCCAGGTCAGCAAGGTTGCCCTTTCGCAGCTCATGGGCCAGGGCAGGAAGAAGGTCAACATCGGCGAAAATGCCGACGAGATGGATATGTGAAAAGGGAAATGATTCGAGAACTAAATAAATCTAAAAGACAGTCCATCTGTGCCTCTGTTACGGCACCCAACGCTTCGCGCCAGTCTGCTCCTCATCGATGGTATCATGTGTTGTGTTATTCCAAGTTTTCCCACGCAGTGGACCCGAGTAACATTGTACTCAAATTCGTAGGTTTTGCTTTTGCCCCTTGGAGGGTCATACATTTTCTTTAAGTCCAGTGTCTACCCAGATTTGTGATTCTGTACGCACGTCTGTCTTGGTCATCCCTAGCTCCGAGACTTGATCTGCCCGATCGCACCCCGCCCTGCCCTTTTCGCCCTTGTTCCCTTCTGACCAATTTTACCTCCCTCCTGCAAGAAATAATCCGTCCCGCTATTGGCTTTCCCCATATCATGCAGAGACGGGAACCAAGGAGGCGGCCAACGGTGGGGTTGCAGAGGGCGGCTTACTGTTCAATATGCTCCTAGCTGCCTCCGTGCACCCAAACAGCAATGGCAATAGCTTCAAGTGCGAGGTTCATTGCCATCCCCCATCACCGTCATGATCAAGATCATCAACACTGGTGAGTATGATGAAGGGGCAAAACAAAACAAAACGCTATCCAAAACTTTGGGTTCCTCATCATCGACCTCTGGCCACCCTCGCCTCCTTTGCCCCGCTGGCAGGAATGCGTCTCTCCCCTTTCTTGAGCTTTGTCTCTTTCCAATCATGGCAGCATGCCAGAGCCCGGTGCGCTATGCCCTTTATCTCTGTCTGTTTTTATCTCCACGTGCTGATTTTCCAGCCCTCTCTCCGTTGCTCTCCGATCCCGCGCAAGGCTCCGGGGAGTTCTGGGTGGGCACCACGAAACAGCCACACGCTCTCTCCAGCCATGCGTGTGGTCTTGCCTTTCCTCTATGGATGACCTTCTCTCTAAGCCAAAATAGCAACAGCTGATAGACAGATGTGGCCGGCAAGTCGTACTGGTGCAGGTGGTGGTGGGTGGATGGTACGTGCAGATCTACCAAATCGCACTTCAAGACCCAAGTTGATCTGTCCCCATGAGCAAACGTTCCTCGACCAACCCCCTTGCATGCCATTGCCTCGATTCGGCCACCCCTCCAGCTCAACTAGCTTCACGATTTTCCATGTGGGGTTACCCTTGTCGAAGTCGACGTACGTACATGCACACACACTTTTGGGTCCGTCCCAGGGCGAAGGGAACCAACGGCCTTTTCCCATCGACCTCGATGAAGCTGTCAAGTCATGTCAGTCAGGTTCTGGCGGTGTTGAATCGAGTCTACCGCCACGCTATTCGCACCCTTCTCCCTAACTTGCCCGATTGAATTCTTTCTCTCCTCGCTCTCTCTCTCCTCGACCAGGCATGTCTCCAGCCCTGCCTGTGCTCCATCCTCTTACCAAAATGAGCCCCGCCCTCTATCCTTCCCCTCGCATCCTGTCCAGCTCCCCTCCGGAGCCTCGTTCCGACCATACTGGCGGATAGCTTACCCTCTGCGCCTCAACGCCTCACCTGTTCACTGTCATTCTGTGCATACTTCTCTCTGTTTCCCCCACCAGGTACCTCCCTTCTATCAGCTGATCCAGGCCTCTCAAGTACGGGAAAAGTGGGATCTCCTCTCCCCCTCTTCCGAGCACTGGCAGTTCATGTGGGGAGACCGTGGACCACAAGCTCTATTTTCTGCCCTGAAGGGAACAGGGCTGGGCCCAAGGCCCCAGACGTGGCATGCTTGGGGAATGGAAGAGGAGGACGATGAAGCAGAGGGCTAAGATGAGGGGTGTGTTGACATCGATCTGGACCCCGGCGTGTTCGACCAAACGTTGACAATCTCTCTCAGACCTTCTGCTCTTTCGGCAAGCTGCGGGTGTGTTTTGGTACTGGCCTTCAACGATCTCACCCGTTCCCTCGCCTCCCCTCTGTCAGACCTCGAGCGGGTGTACCTGACTTCAGGAACTTATATTGACGTACATCCCATACCAGTGCCATTCCTTTCAAGCACCACCAATCTGTCTCTTCTGTCGACCAGTGTTCTTCCACGCCTGCTCACCCTTGGCTCTGGTCATACAAAGCAAGAGCACGGGAACCATCACAACAACCAGCTGGGAGCTGCGGAATTCAAACCCTCACACTCCTTTCGTTTCGCCTATCGGCAAAACACCATACTCACTCTCACTTTCCCATCATTCCGCTTCATTCCACTCTTTTCCGTATTTTGTATAGCTTCCCGAGGAATCTTGCCCCGGGGCGAAATTGGACGAAGACACAAAAAAACGAGCTTGCACATGTCCCTGCCCTTCTCTTAACACAAACAAAACCCTGTCCAGCCCCGCGAAATTCCTGAAGAGTCATTCCTTTTCTTTCTTGCCTCCCATCCTCCATTCTTTCTCTCAGGGGTTCCGTTCTTCTCAAGGAATCCGTTTACATTTCAGTCGACCTCGCCAACGCATACCGTTCCCCAGACTCCAGTGGGGGACGATACTGAGAAAGAACGGAAACGAACCTTACCACATCGCCGGAATCCGTCATCGACATACCCAGTAACGAACGTTACGCTGCAAGAAGAAGCGTAACGAGATTCAATATGGAGCATCCGCGCCCCGTTCTCCCATCTCAGCGTTACTCCCCTTCGCCTGTCTACAGCTACGATAGCAGACGATGCACACCAACCGGCAGGCAGCCACTGAGGGAGTCAACGGGCAACGCCCAGACTGGATCTCACTTGGGAAGTCTGGCCTCATCGTGCCGCAACAGCCCTTTGGGCCTCTTCTCTCCGGGGCTTACCAACATCCCTACTCCTCCTGTCGTGCCTTCGCAAGCTGGGGCAAGCTACCGGAGCAGTGGTAGCCTTCGGAGGCCCGATGCTCTGCACCTAGCTGCGAGACGAGGACGACACGACATCAACCCCATCTACTATGCTCCCGAGTTTCGCCCTTACCGGGACAAGCAGGACCAGAAAGACCCCAATGAAAAGCAAATTTGGCCTCGTGTACTGGAGGATGCGTTCCTTGACTGTAAGTCTCCTTCCACTGGAGAACTCAACGTACCTCTAACTTAGGCATCCAGCACTGCTTATCATTCCCCACATGGGAAGGAAGAAGTATAGCATGCAAGGAAAGCAATTTGGGCGCAACATGCTCATCAGCGAGTATCTCTGGATTGCCTACTGCTGCAGCTTGCAGCCCGGGCAGAAGGCTGAGGAGAGAAAACGAAAGCAAGTATCCAGCCACATTCAAGTTGTAAAGAAAATGTTTGAGAAGCACAGATGCTGTAAGTCAATTTTACTGGGCCAACTCGACCATGAACTCACATCATGTAGATCACTTTTTTTTCGTCAAGGATCCCGACAAGAGCGAGGCCCGTCTTAAGGACAACCTGGAAATGGCCTCCTTCAAAGACAACCCAGTCCTGATTGCCCTTTCCGAAAGCCGTCTCCCGGACGTCCGACCCAACTACGAGTACTTTGCCCAGATTCTGGCCATGGACTCTCTCGTTGTCATGCGTCCCAAGACGGCCTGGATCTTCGTTGCCTCGTCCGGCGTGAGGATCGAGGAAAACGGCGACGCCTACGACCAGAACGGCAAACTCCTCGACCACGAGTACTACCCCCACTTGGAGAAGAACCTGCACAAGGAAGACGGCCTGTCTCGCGGCCTCAACGGCAGCGTTCTTCTGCACGAGTACAACCGCGAGCTTGCGCAAAAGGAATCTGCGGCGGTGACAGAGCTGTCTCAGGAATGGGAAGCCAAGTTCACCCCTCTGCACAAGTCGCTCGAGTACGCCATCGCCGACAACAAATGGCTTGACATCCTGGAGATGACTGTGACTCTCGAGATCCATCCCCGCAGCAATTTTCCCGCTGGCTCCGAGCTCAACGGCTTCGTTGAGCTTAGCATCTCTCAGCCTGCGCTCCAAAACCACAGGTGGAAGTGCGTCACCAAGCTCGCGCGACCGGAGGAACTCCGCCGTGGCGAGAACGAGCCCTGCGTGGTCGAGCAGACGAGCGAGGTCGGTGTGCAGTACACACACAGGCCCGGATGCCAAGACAATAAGTTCGACTGCGACTGCCGCTCCCGCCCCAGACAAGACGTGCGAGTCCCGTTCCCCGCAGCCGAGTGGGCGAGTATCCTCAGCACCTGCGCCGGATACCTCGAGCCGGTCGAGAACAAGACCAAGATTGAGGATGACGACGAGAGGGTCAAGGCCGCCGAAGAGGCCGCCCTCGAGGCAGAGCGCACCACGGCAGAGCTGATCCAGCAGGTCGGCATGTTCCAAGAGCTCTGGTCTGCTCCACCGGACAACAACGCTGACCGTCGTGTCTGGACTCGCCGCGGCATCATCCTCTGGAAGTTCCGCACCATCCACGCCTTCGACGACAAGTGGAACCCCATCTTCGAGAAGCCGGCGGCGCAGAAGGGTAAGCGCCCGGCGGACGAGGAAGGCGACGAGCACACTGGCTCCTCTCGACGCGGAGGAGGAGGCCGACCCAAGCGGGTCTTCAACCCCCCCGGCACGACCTGGCGCTTCCTGACGGCGCTCGACCCAGTCTCGCAAGCCCATCAACAGAACGTCTGCGTCAACCCCGCCGCCGCTCCGAGCCGCGACATGCTCATGGCCCCCACACCCCCCTACTCTCACCACCTTGCCGCCGTCATGAACGACAACATGAGCTCTGCCTGGGAGTCCGTCACCATGCCTGGCCAGCTGCCGAGCCTCGCATCAACCGGCACTCTCGGCCTCATGGACAGCTTCTCACACGGACTTGCCACGCCTCCCCCGACGGCATCCATCCACTCGTCTTACGCAAGCAGCTACGACGGCAGCCACGAGCTGGCTGGCGGGTCGCACCATCAACTCGACTTCCTGGCCGGGACTTGCACGACGTCCATGGACAGCCAGAGCACCTTGGTCACCGACATGGCGCCGACCCCGGCCGACCCGTTCCTGTCAGCGACGGCGGGCATCCAGGTTTCAAATGGCGTGGGCGTCGGCGTGTACGACGACG